GGTCGATACCGGCTGGCCTGGGATGGTACGAAATTATTAGGAAAATGAACGAAGGGTCGCGATCATATATGAATTTCCCAGCGAAGCGCGTAAAGGATAACCGCAGGGGGGGATGGGGGTATAATCTAACTTCTTGTAAGAGAGAAGAATCTATGTTGTGCAATTGATTTTAACAAACGAGTTGACACATCCCGCGCTCTTGCAAACATCCCACCCAGCCACCCGTAACTTGACTTGCAAAACCCATTAAGTGGCGATTGCAATGAATGCTCGGCGTTGGCTGGTGCTTCTCTGCGGCCGCGCCAACCCAAGGCCGACGACGACGGCGGCGACGACGACGACGGCGGCGACGACGACGACGCAGACGTCGACAACGACGAAGACGACGACGACGCAGACGCCGACGACGACGAGGTCGCCAACGAAGACGACGACGAGGGAGGAGGGAGGACGACGACGGCGACAACGACGACAACGACGACAACGACGAGGGAGGAGGACGGCGACGACGCGAACGACGAAGACGGAAGGACGGCGACGCCGACGACGACAACGACGAGGGAGGAGGGAAGACGACGACGACGACAACGACGACGACGACGACGGCGACGAAATGGGAGGGACGACGACGAGACGCCGACGACGGACGACGACGACGACGATGGAGGAGGAGGAAGGACGACCACGGCGACAACGACGACGGAAACGACCACGATGCCAAAGAGGACGACGACGAACACGAGGAAAAGCAGAGGACGCCGTAGGCGACGACGACGACGACGCGGGAGAAGGGAGGACGGCGACGACGACGACGACGACGACGACGCAAGAGCGCGCGCGCGCACGCTTTTGTTGAAAATCCGTGTTGCGAAACCTTGTGTTTTTGTATGTTTGTTGGACGCACGATTTTGAAATCCTTCCGAAACCGATGGGTTTTGAAGGACTTCGGCATACGCGCGCGACGACGCGCGCGTCTGCACTTCGTCCCATTTGTTGCAGGGGATTCTCGCGACGGCACACGCGCAAGGGCGTTCGACAGATTTCGACATGCGCGCGCGAATCCCGTTTGGTAGCATGTTGTGGCAATCTTGAAAAAAACCGATGGTTTTCTTAAGATTTCGCAAGAGCTCGCGCGTAAGCTTTTTTAGCAAATCAGTGTTGCGAACCCCTGTGTTTTTGCATGTTTTTGAGAACTCGATTGCGAAATCCTTCCGACACCGAAGGTTTTTGAAGGATTTCGGCATGCGCGCGCGACGACGCGCGCGTGTGCACTTCGTCCTATGATTTGCAACGGATCCGTGGAAAAGTTCCATGTTCGAACAAAGGATATCCCCGCGTATCCTTTTTTCACAAAGGAACCTCAGGGGGGCCGATACCGGTTCTGTGGGAATAATATACATTCATAGTTCGGATGGACATGTGGTCAGAATCATAAATGATTCACATATCCGGAATGGGGGCGGCGAACGCCAGGGGGGGTGGGTAGACTTTTTACCCGTTTGACACATCCCATGCTCTTGCAAACGTCCCAACCCCTTAAGACCCTGACGGTAGGTACCACATGGCACTTAGCAGCGACACCGACGCCGACGACGACAGCGACGTCGACGTCGACGACGCCGACGCCGACGATTACGACGACACTGACGACGTCCTCGACGACTCCGGCGACGACGACGACGACAACGACGACGACGACACCGACGACGACGACGACGCCGACGCCGACGACGACAACGACGATGACGACGCCGACGACGACGACGGCGACGCCGACGACGACAACGACGACGCCGACGTCTACGACGACGACGGCGGCGACGACGACGACGCAGACGTCGACAACGACGAAGACGACGACGACGCCGACGCCGACGACGACGGCGACGTCGCCAACGAAGACGACGACGACGAGGGAGGAGGGAGGACGGCGACGACGCGAACGAAGAAGGAGGGAGGACGGCGACGCCGACGACGACAACGACGAGGGAGGAGGGAAGACGACGACGACGACGACGACGACGGCGACGAAATAGGAGGGACGACGACGAGACGCCGACGACGGACGACGACGACGACGACGACGAGGGAGGAGGAGGAGGAGGAAGGACGACCACGGCGACGACGACGACGGAAACGACCACGATGCCAAAGAGGACGACGACGACGGCGACGAGGAGAGACAGAGGACGACGACGGCGATGACGACGACGACGACGAGGGAGGAGGGAGGACGGCGACGACGACGACGACGATGACGCAAGAGCGCGCGCGCACGCTTTCGTTGAAAATCTGTGTTGCGAAACCTTGTGATGTTGTATGTTTCTTGGACACACGATTTTGACATCCTTCCGAAACCGAAAATTTTAAAGGATTTCGGCATGTGCGCGCGACGACGCGCGCGTCTGCATTTCGTCCCGTTTTTTGCAGAAGATTCTCGCGACGGCACACGCGCAAGGGCGTTCGTAAGATTTCGACATGCGCGCGCGAAGCCCATTTGGTAGCAGTTTGTGAAAATCTTGAATAACCGATGGTTTCCCTCAGATTTCGCAAGAGCGCGCGCGTAAGCTTTTTAAGACAACCAGTTGTGCGAACCCCATTGTTTTGTATGTTTTTTGGAAGCTCGATTGTGAAATCCTTCCGGAACCAAAGGTTTTTGAAGGATTCCGGCATGCGCGCGCGACGACGCGAGCGTTCACTTCGTCCTATGCGTTGCAAGGGACTCTTGAAAACTTATGATTTTTGATAAACGAGTGTGCGCGCATAGTATGTTTTGCAGAAGATGGCGGAGGGGGCGATACTGGCCTGGCTGGGATAGTATAAACTCAAATTTACGATGGACGAGTGTGCATAATCATATGTAAATTGCAATACGAAAAGGTGTACCGTTAACTCCGGGAAGGGTTCAGATTCTATTCTTCTTTTCGAGAGGAGAATATTTGTTGTGCGATTTATGCTGTGCGACGATGCGGCGACGAGGCGTCGACGGGGACAACATAGCCGCCAGACCGACAATCAGGCCCAGACGACGGGCGGCAACGAGGCGTCGGCGGCGACAACGTAGCCGCCAGACGGTACTCAAGTCCAGTCGACGGGCGGCGACGAGGCGGCGACGGGGCGGCGACGGGGCGGCGACGGCGGCAACAAAGCAACCAGACCGACAATCAAGCCCAGTTCTTTAGAAAAGGGAAACTTCCAATGCAAACACTGCCTTGGGAAGAGATTTTGCACACCATCGATTGCACAACAAGACTGCACAACTTGGGTTGCACGCGCAACATAGCTAGATTGCACCACGTGTCGCTCCACAGAGGCTGCACGACATAGATCGTGCCACATAGATGTTCCATCGCATGGGTTGCACCACGCGTGCTGCTAGAAACGCGCACTTTGGGATCCACGCTGGCGAACATAGACTTTCGGAGCCCTGGGAGTATATGCCTATGCAACTGCATGTGTATGCTCATGCCGCGGCAACGGCGCGAGGAGAGGGCCTCAATCTCGAGGCGCGCGGCCGGGGACGTGCGAGGCGGGAGAGGGGGCACAGGAGGGAGAGGACGACGAAGAGGCAGGGAGGGAGGACGGAGGAGGGGGGGAGAGGGACGACGACGACGAGGCGGATGGAGGAGGGAGAAGGATGACGACGCGGATGGAGGAGGGGGAGGGAGAGGGAGGAGGGAGAGGGAGGGGGAGAAGGGGGGGTGGACGGCGGAGAGGAAGAGAGCAGGATGAGTGAAAGGTGGAAGCGCAATCGCAAGGCCAGGGAAATTGGACAAGCGTGCTGTGCCGTGCCTCGCGGGAGGAGGATCGAGGATCGAGATTGCGGGGTCGACCTTCTCGGGTGCTATGGGCCCCTTTCGGGGCCTCTTGGGTGCTCCCGAGGCCTTCCGGGGACTTGCAGGGCACCCTCAGGAACCTCCCCAGGGCCTCTGGAGGCCTCCAGAGAGATCTCTGGGGGAGGAGGGAGACTCCGCGCCGCCTCCGAGCGACCGCGCCAGCTCACGGCGATGGGCTCGAGGCGCCGCTGGCGCTGGGGCGCGACCGAACCACCTGGATGACAAGGCTGAGGAGGAGGAGGAGGAGGAGGAGGAGGAGGAGGAGGAGGAGGCTGTTGCGCCTGCTGGGGAGATGCGGTTGAGGAGGGGCACGGCGAAGGAGAAGAGGGGGTGGGCGAGGAGGGATGTGGGGGCGAGAAAGGGGGAGAGAAGGGGGTGCAGATGGGGTGATGCTGAATGGGAGGGGTGGCGGGCTCCTGCGTGGAAGGTGAGGGTGAGAGTGAGGGCGACGGCGAGGGGAAAAATTTCAGAGCGGGCGCTGCCAAGATAAAGCAGAAACCCAACTCGACAGGTGGGGTGCTAGCAGCCCAGCGCAATGTGCTCTCCAATGACGAGCAGGAGCGAGGCAGCCGAAGGCGGCAAAAGCTCGCACCAGCAGGCTGCGCGTTGGGGGCAGGGAAGCATGCCACCTAATCTGGATGCCCCTTCCCTTTTGCCTTTTGGGATAGCGCCGTCTCCGCCGCGCTGCCCCGCCTCTCCGCAAGGGCCACGCTGGTCGCGGGGGTGTCAACTACTGCGGGGACGGCAGGGGGCAATAATTCCCCGTCGAGCCGCTCGGCACGCCACTCCATGGCCGAGGTCCAGCGCACGGGTGCCCGCCGCGACCCCGTCAGGGCCCCTCCTCCTCCCTCTTCCCCGTCGCCTCCTCTTCCTCCTCCTTCGCCTCCTCCTCCTCCTTCTTGTCCATATCGTCACCCGACTTCAGGGGGATATCTCAGGAATGTCTCCTCCTCCTCCTCCGCCCCAAGGTCAGGGGCGACGAGCGGGGCGAATAGCCCAGGTGGAGCAATCCGTGCACGTAGAGGCGCCAGGACCCGCGTCTTCGGCGTGGCTCACCGGTGAATGCGTGCAGTGCCCGCCCCTGGGCCCTGGGCTATTCGCCCTCGTCACCATCGCCGACAAGGGGCTGCGGCAGACCCAACGGCCCCGGCCCGCGGGGGGTGCCTGGGCGTGGAGCCTCCTGGCCTCTCGCGTGGCCTCGATGGCGTCGGCGAGCTTCTCCTGCCCGAGGCCGGCGCGGCTCGGCCCTCGGGGCCTCGAGCGCGGGTCCTCGGGCCCCAACCTGCGATAGGCTGGGAGCCACGAGCATGACAAGGGCGGCGGCGGCGGCGGCGGCGACGACGACGCGGGGGCGTGGCCACGGGCGGGGAAAGGCGGGGCATCTCTGGGCGGGGGGTGGGGCTGGCGGGGAGTCTCGCCGGGCCCCCGGGTGCTTTGCGGGAGAGGGGCCAGCAAAATCCACCCTCGGGCTGCGCTCCGCTTCCTCCGTCTCGATCTCCGAGGCTGTCGTATGTTGTGTATTTGTTATCTCTATCACACTCACTACGTATGTATGTATGTATGTATGTATGTATGTATGTATGTATGTATGTATGTATGTATGTATGTATGCATATGTGCATGTATATAAGAACATATATATATATATGTGTGTGTGTGTGTTTGTATGCATGTATGCATGTATGCATGTATGCCGTTATGTATGTATGTATGTATGTATGCATGCATGCATGCATGTATGTATGTATGTATGTATGTATGTATGTGTGCACGTGTGCATTCACGCATGCATGAATTGATGGATCCATGATGTATTCATGTATGCATGCATGCATGTATGTATGCATGTATGTATGTAGGTGTGTCTATATATATATATACATATATGTGCATCTATGCATGTATGAAATCATGCGCGTGTTCATGTACGCCTGTCTGCTAGTAAGTATGTATATATGTATGTATGTGCGTACGTATGCATGCATGCATGCATGAATGAATGTATGTGCTACTGCACACATCAGTATCCATATATATAGATAGACATTGAAACATTTACATCTAGAAGCATGTGTATATATGTATCATCGGACGAACTTCGCCCTCCGTCGCCGGTCCCCTGTCTATCATCATGGGAGATGTCAGAGCTATGCTAAGACGTGTCGGCGCTGTGTTGACAACTTCACGGAACGTCATGCGAAGACGGTTGGCAGTGGCATTCAGCAAGCGCCTTGAGATGTTGGAGTTGTTTCACGTTGTTTCCTTCTCAGGGCGCGGATCTGTTTGATGTGCTAGAGAATCTGGCCTCGGGAGCGCGACCTTGGCGGAGCTTGAGAAACCGGATTTTCGGATCGGGGGCGCGATTCTGGCATAATGTGCTGAGGAGCCTGGCCTCGGGAGCACGAAAGCACTTTCCCAAAAAGGATTCTGGCCTCGGGGGCGCGAACCTGGCGTCAGTAGAAAGATGCTTGTCTCGGGGGCGCGGACCTCACGTACTTGTACGCGTCCCAGACGCACCGAAAATTTGGAACACGCGATTCGGGCGTGGTGACCAGGCTGTTTTCGGCTCCCCCCATCGCGCCAACAGTCAAAACTTAGGATAGAACGCAGAACATTGTACTATACTATTGGAAGCTGGAAGCTGGAACTTGTGCAGCGTGCACGAAACCCACACGACACACAACACACAAAACACACAACACACAACACGCATGCATCACGCAAAACACAACACACAACCCACGCACATAACACACGCATACAACACAGTACACACAACACACACAATGCACAGGCAACACAACACGCACACACACACACCACACGAGACACACACAACATACACAACGTACACAACCCACTAAACATAACACACATAGACACACGCAAGACACACAACTCACACGATTCACGCAGCACCCAACACACAACACACACACGACACACAATGCACCCAACACATAATACAAACAACATACACGACACGCACACGCACAACGCACATACACCACACAACGCATACCACACAACGCACATAACACAATACACAAGACACAAACACATACACAACATGCACAACACGCAAAGCACACACACATACATGCAGACAAACTTGCACGCCCATGCGTGTGTATACGTATATACATGTATGAATACGTATAGCGAGAAACCCCCAGAAGCACCTAGAACTGCTGGCTGTTGGCCCCTTTGAACAAATAACTGGGAAGTTTCGTGGCAGAACACTCTACGGGACCTGCAGACGCTCTACTCATCCAGCCCCTCACCGTGAAGATTCGGCCGGACCTACCTGCCACGAGGAATCAGCGGATTTTGCCCTAGACGTTTTATTCGGCGCCGTCAATGATCATCTGGGATCTTTCGGGCGCGTGGGACAGACATTGGTCCCGATCTTCGTGTGCAGCGGTGATCCCGACGACATGGAAATGATGCATGCGTTGCTTGTCATGTTTGCAAACTCTGCCGCTCACTTGTCCAAACTGGCCCGCCACTGTTACTGAGCCACGCCGAGTTCAAAGATGCAATCGTACAGCGGATTGCATCTACTGAGAGCGGCATGCAGCCGCTCAAGTTTTCTGAAGGCCATTTCGCATATCCTTAGCAGCCTCTGCCCTGAGGATTACATCCTGGTAGCTGCGCAGTGCCGGATGTCAGAGTGAAGTGTGTTCGACATGCATGCATGTCATGTTGAATTGTTTGCTCAGTCGCTTCGTGCATTGACCCAACGTCTGGAAGCGCCTGTGAGCTACTAACCCAATGACATTTCGACGCTTCGCTCGTCTTTCTTGAAACGCTTAGCCTCATGTCTGTGCCTACGCACCCGCCTCCCTCAGACTCAAATTCCGCGGAATCGTCATAACGCCTCCGCTTCGGCTGCATTCCGCGTCGCTGTGCATGCAATTGCCGCCGTCGTTTGCTCAACGCACGCTCCCAGTTACAGAGCGTTTTCTCCGACATCCCTGTCGCAACGGAGCCTGGTGTTCCCCCATGTCTGTGCGGTGTTTTATGCCGATCTGTCCAACGATGAAGATCGGTCGTGGCTATGGGCCCTGGTCCCAGCCGCCAGTGCAAATGCCGCACTGGAGCATAGTTTCAGGCTGCCACGCCTGACTGGTAATCATGGATATACATATGTGTATGTATATATACACACATAGGTACATATCGATATGAACCGTAAGGTTATACGATATTAGCCAGCATGCACCCCAATCAGTGTGCTTCTAGAAACCTGTGTTGTGCAACCTCTGTTGAATCATAGAACTGGTGCAACCTACGCGGTGCAATACATGCGGTGCAAGCTATGGGGTGCAACTTGAGTCGTGCGATCTAGGTTGTGTCACCTACGCTGCGCAACACATGTCGTGCGATCTAAGGTGCGCAGTTCATGTGGTGCAACATAGGTTGGGCAACCTACATGGAACAATCTATGTGGTGCAATTAATCAATGCTCAAGTTGAACATGTCCATCCCATCCCATCCACCCGCAACTTGGTTTGCAAACCCCACACGGCGGCGATTGCGATTAATGATTGGCGTTGGCTGGTCATCTCTGCGGCCGCAGCAACCCGCGCATGCACGCGCGCACAACGGTCAACTACCTTGGCGCGACCGACGCAACCGCGGTGGTGCTGACCGCTGGGCACATCACAGCAGGCACTTCAGCACGAGTCGGTGATTTGGGCGGGCGCGGTGCCATGGCAACGCCGACAACGGTAGACACGGTGATAAGAATAGCGATCTTGATGGCGATGTTGGCAGCGATGACAACACGGCCAGTGACGGCGCGGATGCTGATCACGCCAACGACGATGACGGCGTCCTCGCGTCGGTGGTGAAAGTTTTGGGAAGAATTCAACATGTGCGCGCGGCTGACCCGCGAGAGTGGCCCGCATGGTGTTCTTCGACACGGATCGCGCCCCCTCAACACACGCGCAAGGGCGCGCGAATGATGTCGGCATGCGGCGCGAGAGGCCCGTTTGGAATAATTCTATGAACACGTTGGAACACCGATGGCTTTCGTGAGAATTCGCAACTGCATGCGCACTTGTTTTCGAACACTGACGTTGCGAAACCATGTGTTTTTGTATGTTTGTTTGGGCACTCGGTTTTGAAATCGCTACGGAAGCGAAAGTTGTTGAAGGATTTCGGCATGCGTGCGACGACGCGCGCGGGCGCACTTCGTCCCATTTGTTGCAAGGGATTCTCGCGACGGCGCGCGCGCAAGGGTGTTCGAACGATTTCAACATGCGCGCGCGAAGCCTTTTTTTGTCGCCTTTTTTCATGAACATGTTCATCCAATGATGTCCTTAAGAATTCGCAGAAAAACGCGCGCAAGCTTTTTTTGAACATCCGTGTTGCGTTTGTTTCAAGGATTTCGGCATGGGCGCGCGACGACGCGCGCGTGCGCACTTCGCTTCGTTTGATGCAAAGGATTCATAAAACCCATGACTTTTGATGACCAAATGCGCGCGCGTAGTACTTGTTGCAAAGAATGACGGGGGGGCCGATACCGGCCTGTCTGGGACAGCATGAATGTATAATTCGGATGGACGAAGGGCCAAACTCACATGCAAATTGCAATACGAAAAAAGGAACAGACAATCCCGGGGGGGGAGAGTCGATTTATTCACTCGGTAGAAAAGAATTAAATTCTGTTCGCAGTGAGCTGTCAACTCCATTGCTCGCGCAATCATCCCACCCACCCACCCGCAACTTCGTTTGCAACGCACATGCGGTGGCGATTGCGATGAGTGCTTGGCGTTGGTTGGTGCGTCTCTGCGGCCGCGCCAACCCAAGCACGCGCGCGCAGCGGTCAACTACCTTGGCGCGACCGACGCAACCGCGGTGGCGCAAACCGCTGGGCACATCACAGCGGGCACTTCAGCGCGAGTCGGTGATTTGGGCGGGCGCGGTGTCATGGCAACGCCGACAACGGTAGACGCGGTGATGAGAATAGCGATGCTGCTGGCGGTGCTGACAGCGACGACGGCACGGCCAGTGACGGCGCGGATGCTGATCACGCCGACGACGATGACGGCGTCCTCGCGTCGGCGATGAAGGTTTTGGAAAGAGTTCGACATGCGGGCGTGGCCGACGCGCGTGTGTGGCTTGTATGGTGTTATTTGGCACGGGCCGTGCCTCCCCAGCACGCGCGCAAAGGCGTGCGAATGATGTCGGCATGCGGCGCCCGAAACCCGTTCCGCAGAATTACATGGACATGTTGAATCACTTATGGTTGTCGTAAGAAGTCGCAAGAGCGCGAGCGCACGTTTTGCTATGGTTTTGCAAGCTGGTGCTACGTAGCCAAATTCTTGTTATACGTTGTTTTGACACTCGGTTTTGAAATTCCTACGACACCGAGTGTTTTTTTCAAGGGCTCCGGCATGCGAGCGCGACGACGCGCGCGTGCACTTCGCCTCGTCGTTTGCAAGGGATTGTCGCGAAGGCACGCGCGTAGGGGCGTTCGAACGATTTCGACATGCGCGCGCGAAGCCTGTTTGGTAGCATTTTCTGGAAATGATGAAAAACCGATGGTTTTCCGTATAAATAAAAAGAATGCGCGCAAGTTTGTTTGATTTGTTTTGAAAATCCGTGTTATGAAGCCATGTGTTTTTCTTGGTTGCTTGGACACTCGATTTGGAATTCCTTACGAAAACAAGCATGTGTTGAAAGGATTTCAGCATGTGCGCGCGACAACGCGCGCGTGCGCACCTCATTTCATGATTCTTGATCAACGAGTGCGCGCGCGTAGCATGTTTTTGCAAAGGCTGGCGGGGGGGCCGATACCGGCCTGTCTGGGATGGGGTAAATTCATATTCAGGATGGACGATGGGGCAGAACCATATGTACATTGCAATACGAAAAAGGGGAACCGATAATCCGGGGGGGGTATAGCCTATTTTTTGTAGAATGGGGAATTCTCCCTGCCGGGCTTGACATTGTCAACTCCACTGCTCGCGCAATCATCCCACCCACCCGCCCGCAATTTGGTTTGCAAAACCCGTGCGGCGGCGATTGCGATAAGTGCTTGACGCTGGCTGGCGCATCGCTGCGGCCGTGCTAGCCCGCGCAGGCTCGCGCGAAGACCGGCCAGCGAATCTGGCGCGACCGACGCGGCCGCGCTGGTGCTGATCACTATGCGCTCCCCAACCCGTCTCGCAGGCCGCGCTGACGCGTGGGCACTTCAATGCGAGTCGGTGGCTCGGGCGGGCTCGGTATCATGGGGACGTCGACAGACAACGGCAGACACGATGATGACAGTAGCGATGCTGGTGATGATGGTGACAGCGGAGATGGCACGGTCAGTGACGGCGCCAATGCTGATCACGCCGAAGCTGATGAAAACCTATGGCATTCTTAGGAGCACCTCTGGTTCTTTGAAGACTTCGCAGGGGCGTGCGCAAACTGCAAACTGGTTGAAACACCATGTTGCAATACCACGTTTCTTGTAACAACCATTTTGTGATGCTGGGTTCTCTTTTTTGAAGAGACAGCGCCCCGCGCTCGTTCCCTCCTCCCCCTCCTCCGTCCTCCCATCCCTGCATCTGCCCTCCGAGATCCGCACGTCTATATCGTTATCATCATCATCATCATCATCATCATCATCACCACCACCATCGTCATCACCACCCTCGCCACAATCATCGTCATCATCAGCACCATCACCATCATCATCACCATCATCGTCATCACCACCATCATCATCATCATCATCAGCATCATCGTCATCATCATTATCATTATGCCGAATGACCAAAGGCTGCGCCCGCATGCGCCCGCCGCATCAATTTCGGCACACCCCTCACGCGTTTCGTGGCCCCGCGGGAAGCTCCACCGACGGCCTAAAAGACAGCGCCAGCATGCGCTCGCCGCACCCATGTCGGCACACCCCTCACATATTCCGTGGCCCCCATAGGGAGTTCCACATGAGGCCCCAGTGGCTATGCTCGCATGCAACCGCCGCACACATTTCGGCACACCCCATCACGCGTTTCGCGGCCCCCATCGGGAGCCCCAACGAAGGCCAAGACCGAGGAGGACAACTTCAAGCCCTCGGTGATGCGGCCAAACGGAACAAGACAAATGCGGTAGGGCCACCGTTGGCGGAGGACGGGCAGGAAGACAACTTCAAGCTCTCGGTGATGCAGTCAAGCGGAACAAGACAAATGCGGCAAGGCCACAAGGAGGACATCTTCAGGCTCTCGGTGACGAGGTCAAACGAAACACTGGTGGCAGAGAACGATAAGGAGGGCATCTTCAAGCTCTCGGTGATGCAGACAAGCGAAACAAGACACATGCGGCAGTGCGGCAGGGCCACCGGTGACAGAGAACGAGGAGAAGGACAACTTCAGGCTTTAGGCGATGCAGCCAAACGCCACAAGACAAATGCGGCAGGGCCACCAGTTGCGGAGAACGACTAGGAGGACATCTTCAGGCTCTCGGCGATCCAACCACATGTAACAAAAAATACAGCATTTCCACCTGTGACGGAGAAAGAGGAGGACAACTTTTCAACTTTAGGGTCTCGGTGATGCAACCAAGCGCCACAAGATAAATTCGGCAGGGACAGTTGTGGGGGAGATCGAAGAGGAGGATATCTTCAGGCTCTCGGCGATGCGGCCAAAGGCCACAAGACAAATGCGGCAAGGTCACCCGTGGCGTAGAACTTTGAGGACAACTTCAAGCTCTCGGTGACGCGGCCGAGCGGAACAAGACAAATGCGGCAGAGCTAACCGGTGACGGAGAACGAGAAGGAGGACAACTTCCGGCTCTTGGTTACGCAGCCAAGCGGCCCCAAAAAAGTGCGGCAGGGCCACCAGTAGCGGAGAACGAAGAGGAGGACGTCTTCAGGCTCTCGGTGATGCTGCCTAGCGCCACAAGACAAATGCGGCAGGGCCACCGCTGGCGGAGAACGAAGAGGAAGACATCGTCAGGCTCTCGGGGATGCAGCGAAGGGATACAAGACAAATGCGCGTGCGGCGGAGAACGAGGACGGAACAAGACAAATGCGGCAGGGCCACCAGTGGCAGAGAACGAGGAGGACAACTTCAGGCTTTAAGCGATGCGTCCAAACGCAACAAGACAAATGCAGCAGGGCCACCAGTGGCAGAGAACGAGGAGGACAATGTCAGGCTTTAGGTGATGCGGCCAAACGCCACAAGACAAATGCGGCAGGGCCACCGGTTGCAGAGAACGAGGAGGAGGACATCTTGAGGCTCTCGGTGACGCGGCCGAGCGGAACAAGACAAATGCAGCAGGGGCACCAGTGGCAGAGAACGGGGAGCAGTGCAACTTCAGGCTCTCGGTGATGCAGCCAGACGCCACAAGACAAATGCGATAGGGCCACTGGTGGCAGGGAACGAGGAGGAGCGCAACTTGAGGCTGTAGGCGATGCGGCCAGACGCCACAAGACAATCGAGACAGGGCCACCGGTTGCGGAGAACGAGGAGGAGGACAACTTCAGGCTCTCGGCGATGCGGCCACACGGCACAAGACAAATACGGCAAGGCCACCAGTGGCGGAGAACGAGGAGGATAACTTCAGTCTCTCGGTGACGTGGGCAAACGGCACAAGACAAATGCGGCAGGGCCGCTGGTGGCGGAGAACAAGGAGGAGGATAACTTCAGGCTCCCAGCGATGCGGCCAAGCGACACAAGGCAAATGCGGCCGGGCCACTGATGGCAGAGAATGAGGAGCAGGAGGACAACTTCAGGCTCTCCGTGATGCACCCAAACGGAACAAGATAAATTCGGCAGGGCCACTGGTGGAGGAGAACGAAGGAAGACATATTCAAGCTCTCAGCGATGCAGCCAAGCGGAATCGGATAAATTCGGCAGGGCCACAGGTGGCGGAGAACGAGGAAGAGGCCAATTTCAGGCTGCCAATGATGCAGCCAAGCGGCACAAGACAAATGTGGCAGGGCCACCAGTGGAGGAGAACGAGGAGGAGGACAACTTCAGGCTTTGAGTGTTGCAGCAAAACGGATTGAGATAACTTTGGCAGGGCCAATAAACAAATCGTTGCCTCTCGTCTGGGTCGCTGGCCGCGGCGACGATGGCGGCGACGAGCCGGGAACGTGTTTTCGACTGTCCACATTTCTTAGTCGCTTGGTCGTATTGTGCATGCACGCCTGCAGCTGTTCGATTGAACCCCGCCCGAGCGGATTTGCGAGCCTTTGTGCTCGAAGAAAGCGAGCCCCCCCGCGCCGACATGGCCCCTCGCGCGCGCGGGCAATTCCGCCGCCAGAACATTGGGCGAGAAGACGGCCAGACGGCATGCCGTCCCAAAACATGTGATCCCTCCTGCAGAAGCGTCAGGCTCGGTTTGAGAGCGCCCACACTGAATCAAATTGGAAGCGTTTCACCCGGCACGAGCGCCCTGACCATGCTAAAGTCAATGGCAAGGCCCTGGTCATGTGAGTCCAAGACCTTGTCAAACAAACCTTCGGGGCCAAAAGTAATACGTACTTGAGCACCCCAAGATCGCCGGAGCCGCGTCTGGAACCATGGCAGGCTGCATCAAATGCAACGCAGGCTGGGGGTCACAATATCCGATGGGGGGAAGAGCAGCACATCCTTCGCCGCCGGGAGCGCTGCCCCGCCCCCTCCAAGGGGGGCGGGGAGGGTCCTCCCTTTGTGATATTATTCTGGGGCTCACATTCGATCCTGCAGCCACCTCTGCGGAGGCGCAGGCCCCGAGGTGGCTACGCGAGGCCGGCGAGACTCGGCCGCATCTCGCGCGCTGGTCCTGCAGGGCCGCCCCCCCCCCCCCCCCGCAGCGCCGAAGGAGGCCCGCGAGCGGGCTCCAGTGGCCACTCGCGGTGGCCCCGCGGCGTGGCCACCGAGCAAACTACCAGCCGTGCCCCCAGTGGCACTGCGGGGAGACGTCAGCATCGCCTGCGCACGCGAGTGACCCGAGGCAGGAGTGGCTTCCAACGCGAGGCCTCAGAAAGCCGCGGGGGGGGGGGGGGGGGGGGGCAGCTCCGCGCTCGCAAGCCGCTGCCGGGGGGGGGGCTGTGTTCCCGCGCCAGAGGTCACTCCAGCGTAAGGTCACCCTTGCGCATGGCCGAGTTCGGGCGCGCTCGTGAGACCCGCTCGGCCGCTGCGAGCAGGCGCGGTCAGGGAGCTCCTTGACCTGGAGCGGTCGGTCGATTTCGGCCCTCTGCGCAAGCCCCTCGCGCAGCTGCGGCCCCTTGCCCCGCCGCTTGCCCAGCGCAGCCTCGGGCGCACGTGCGCCGCCTTTGCGCGGCGTTTTTGCTCGCGTCCACGGGCCCGTTCCCACGCTGCGCCTGGCTCGTGGCGTCGCTGACGACGACCCCAGGTATGTTTTTGGCTTGCTGTCTACTTTTCGTGATCTGCCGCGCGCTGCCTTGCTGGCCATGGCGTCGCGGAGGCCAGTCGTGACGAGACCGCTCTTCGCCTCATCGTCGGACGCGGCGCTAGCCACTACGATCTTGCCCTTCACGCTGACCTGTGCGACCGTCGCGCCGAAGCACCTCGGACGATCGGTCGAAGTCACCCTCCTCAAGCGGCGCGCGCTGCTCTGTGCCATGGATGATTCCGTTGTTGGCCAAACTTGGAATTGGTCGAGGTCTTCGCCATCTCTGCGGCGACGCGCGCTCCGTCTGCTCGAGCTGCGCTGCGCCGACCTCTAAGGCGAGGCCGTGCCGCCCATCGCAGAGGGCCAACGCTCGCAGGCCATGCGCGCTGGCCTGGCAGTCCTTCGGCGCCGGGGAGCGCCAGCCTCCGCGGCCGCTGCGGCGCCGCAGCCCCTCCCCCGCCGCTTGCAACTCAGCCGCGCCGACCTCCAGGATGGCGTCGGTCCAGCAGTCCCTCGCGCTCGCGCTGCCCAGCCTTGACGGCGCGAGCGCGCGGCGGCCTGGCGCGGGCCCCGGCCGCGCCGCGGGGCGGGCCCGTGCGCTCCGATCTGCGCCGCAGCCTCCGACGAAGCGATCTCAGGGCGAGTCGCTGCGCGGGAGGCGACCTGGGCGAGCCTGCCTTCGTCGGCGCTGCCTCGCGGGCCAGTGGCTCGGCGCCGCGCCGCGGCTTCGTTGGAGAGCGCGCGGCCGCCGGCCGTTGAGCGGGAGCTGCGGGATGAATGTGGGGCGGCAGCTCGGCGCTGGGCGCTCGCGGTCGCGATCAGGGGCCTCGCGGTCGAGACGGCCTCGATCCGCACGCGGTCGCTCCGACGGGTCGTCCTGGCCGAATGTGCGCCAGGAGTGCTCGGCGCCGCGCTTGCTCTCTGTGGTCTCTGGGGCCTCCATGGACCCCCGCTCTGCGCCGTCTGTGCGCTGCTCGCCATCCACCTTGGCGATCTCCGTCTGAAGCCCTCGGAGTGGGCACCGCGCGCGAGGCGTCCTCCTTGCCCAAGCTGCTGCTACTTCACGTGCGCACCGCTGGCCTCAGACTGGTCCACGTGCTGGTTCTCCGCATTCCTCAGGCTGCTGGGCTCCATGCCGACCTGCTTTGTAAGGTTGGCCGCCATGCTCAACGCCCTGAGCGCCGTGATCGCGGCAACGCACGGGGTCTCGAACGACCTGCCAGCCGAAAGACGCGCGCACACCAGTCTCGATGACGGACCACCGCTGGAGGACCAAGTCGCCAGTATTGGCCGCCTGGGAGTCGCGCGCGGCCCTAAGGAGCGGACTGCTCAACGGTCGCCACTTTCGTGAACCGTTCGGAGTTCCAGCGGAGTGGTGACCCACGCGGGTCCAACTCGGACCTTGTGTTCTTTGGGGGCTGAGAACTGCTCAATTGCTGCCACTTTCGTGAGTTCCTGGGGGTCCAGCGGAGGGATGTCCTACACGGGCTCAAACTATGCTTTATGTGGGTTCAAACTAGATCTCGCCGTCCCCTGGTGCAACCGACTGAGCAATTCTCGACACTCTCGTGAGCTTCTGGGAGGTCCAGCACAATTGTATGCTACGCAGGTCCAAACTAGGCGTCGCCCCTCCTGAAGACAGCCAGCTGTGAAATTGTCGCCACTTTCATAAGCCCCTGGGACCTGGAAGGTCTAGCGGCGTGATGCCCTACGCGGACTGCTCAGCTGTCGCCATTTTCGTGGGCCCCTGGAAGCGCCAACGCAGCGGTGCCTTACGAAGGTTCAGATTCAACCTCGCCCTCCCGGGGGGCTGGTATCCGCGCAACCGTCGCCAATTCCGTGGTTTCGTGGGGGAACCAGCAGGGTGGTGTCGTACGCGGATCCTAACAAGACCCTGCCACTCACTGAGTGGTGCCCACTGCGCGTTGGCCATTGTTACCTCGGATTTCTTTCGTGCATAAGCTATTCTAAGCTTGCTACCTCTCTCAATTGTACCCCGTGAAGCATGCAACATGTAGGCCACCCCGTGCCGTTTTCACACAAATCTGCATTCCTTCTTGCGCCATCATCCTGTGATTATGGGCCCATTGCTATAGCCACGCGTTGCATGTGCGGGGTAATCTATGAGCAAGCGGGGTGGAAGAGGAAGGGGGGGAAGGATGAGAGAGGGGGAAAGCAAGGAAGGGGAGTATTATGAGGATGGTGAGGGGCACGATACGGTTCGGACGCAATTGGGGTCTGCTGTCTCTGGCCTCTGGTCTCGAGCGCCAAGGGGCGACTCAGTATGAAGATGCGTTCCCGCGACATGCAGCGTTGTAACGATCGACTGAATGCGCATGGTAAGCTGTGGCGTAATTCACAAAACGGCCAGGAGGATAAAACATGATGAACAGGTTGGTGAGGAGGAGCATGGGGCGGAGGGGGAGGACGTGGGAAGATGAAGGGAAGACGCAAGGAGAGAAGAAGGAGGCCGTGGAGGAGGTGGACGGGAATAGAAGATTCGAGGGAAGATAACGACGAGGAGGAGGGAGACGCGGACAACGGGGGAGGGGGGCCGAGAAAGAGTCGGAGGAAGGAGCGAGGGCACAAACGGGCGAGAGGGAGCGCAAGATTCTGGAGGCTTGAGAGTGGCAGGAATTTGCGCAACACCCCGCAATTGCGGATAAGAATGAGGGAGCGTGCGCGAGGTGGGTCGCGGGTGGGTCACGGATGGGCCACTGGTGGGTCGCGGTGTGGGTCGTGGGGTCGGTGGAGGGTGGGTCGAGGGGGGATCGCGTGAGGGACGACGACATCAACAGCAACACAACAACAGACAAGCATAATCCGGGCCACGGAATCCCTCTTCACGCGCGCAACCAGGGATGGTCTAAGACCGTTCGGCCTCCTCACTCCGACCATACTGAAATTCCACGAAGGAAGGAGGGCAGACTTTTTTCAAGCCGTGCGAGCATGCCGAAGCCAAATGTCTTTGCGCAACGCAGCCCAGATCGAATTCATGGGCACTCCATGCGGTAGAATGCACAAAGGCATTCCAAAATTGCCCAAGCCGCATAAGAGGAGAAACAATCATATAAACACACACTTTCGGAGGTCTGCGCAGATTTCTTGGATGGCGCTGGGCCTCCCCCCCCAAGCTCGCGGAGCGCGCCAGGGACGGCGCTGGAGGCGCGCCAGGGCGGACCAACGCATATCCAAGACATGCGCGCGGAGCTTCGACAATTTATGTTTGTGCAATTCTCTCCCCCTTCGAAGACAACCAATCGCGCACTGTGCCGGAAGGCTGAAGCTGGGAGAATTTCTTTGCTCCCGTACGGAGGGCTGTTGAAGTGCGAATCGGAGAACCGCTCGCAATCTACTGGAGGCCTCTATGTCCTGGAACAGTGTCCACCGGACATTCGAGTAAATATGAACTGCAACTTTTCTGTTTGAGTAACCTCGATACGTAAGTCCACTTTTGAGCAGATGTCTCGAGTTGCCAGCCTCATTTAGGGGCCACCAGGCGGCGAAGTCAGATATCGCATCAAGTAATATGCACATGTAAGCATGCCCTGCAAGCTGGTTGCACTGAAGGCGCGTGCAAATGTCCTGCAAACTTGTGACCGTGAGTGTATGTTATGCGTGTGGCGACTGTCTTGATGCGATGGATCGCTGCGAGCAATGAGTACAACGCATATCATTTGAGTTGGTGATCTTTTCTGGCGAGAGGCACTAAGGACAGCTACGCGCAACTCGACTACATACAGAGGAGGGCGACACCTACACATGTGGGGTCAGACTGGCCAAGCTGCGCATTCGTTGGGACAAATCTTATAACTGGCATTGACGGCCATCTGAGAAGATAAGAGGACAACCGAAAAAAAGAGATGGAGTGGTCGGGGGGCTGTCAACAATTCTTGTATGAATGCAACCGGGAACTCTTGCTTGGCGTGTCGCAGCGGCGGCCCTGGCGACACGGTGTGCCTTGCAAGCGGATAGCGTGCCGTTCCGCTCCACGGGGCGACACGCTGGGAAATGCTCGGGACATTGACGCTTGGGACCAGGAAGTGGTTACCGTGTCGCGCCGAAACGTGGTGGTCCAGAACAAGCGACGCTACGCGCCAAGTCCACGTTCGCGACAGCGCTCACACTTACAAGTGGCACGTGCGTGCCCAGGCTTGAAGAAACACATATGCAGGATGTGTGTATGTGCGGTGTGAAAGGTTCGTGCTATCTTTGTTGTGTGGTGTATGTGTGTTGTGCGTGTTATGTGTGAAGTTCATATGGGTTAAACATGGGTGGTGTGTGTTCTGCGTGTCATGTGTGCTAGGTGTGTGTGTGTGTATGTGTGTGTGCGTGTATTGCGTGTGTGTGTGTGTGTCCGTCGTGTGCTGTCGATTTCGCGAGGATGTTTCGGGCGAGACGATTTGTTCTCAACACCGAGTTTAATAGGAGCTCCTCTGTTGGAAGACTTCTTAGGCGAAACTACATGTTTGAAATAATCGGAGGCGGGCGTGGTCTTACAAGGCCGGGATGACCTACACTTTTTGTGGCTTTCTTCAAGAGAAGAACAAGAGAGAGAGAGAGAGAGAAAGAGAGAGAGACCCCCCGTTTCCCTGCGCGCCCCGCGAGGACTGACCTCAGGCCTTGACCATAGGCCGCAGGGTCGGATGTCTCTGGGGGGTTGTGGCGTTGGCGCTGCGGCCGCTGGTTGGGGTTGAAGAGGTTCTGGGGGCTGCGGCGTTGGCGCTGCGAGCGCGGGGGCGCTGGGTGCCTCGAACTAGTGGCAGCGGCAGCGGCACAGCAGGCGTGTGTGGTGGCAGAGGCGGAGGCGGGCGCGGTCGCGCAGGCGGGGTAGCAGTGGGGGGGCTGGCTGCTGGCGCAGCAGTGGCAGCAGCGGCGGCGCCGGCGGGCGTGGCTGGCAATGCCAGAGGCAGCGGCAGGGGTGGCGGCGGTGGCGGCGCTGGTGGCGGCGGCATTCGCAGTAGTGGCAGTGGCAGCGGCAGCCGCGGCGGCATTTCTTGGCTCTGCGCAGGGCGCCCCAGCACGGCGCTCATGTGCCTAAATTCCTCGTTCCCGCCGTGTGCAAATCCCCTAATGAAATTAAATCGCTTTACTTGCACAGGATTCTTTCTACAGTGATTTCCGTTGCAGTTGCAATATCACTACATTTTGGGAGTCTCAGGGGGGTTTCCTGACCTCATTCTGGGGATGGCGCGCTGAGCCCTGGAGAACCTGCGGACAGCCACGTCCGAGATTGAGGAACAATATTCATTTCTCGGGGTTGGTGGGGGGAGCGCACCATTGCACACGGGGGGCGTACCATTGTACTCGCCACAGCCTGGTGGCGGTGGTGGTGGTGGTGTTTGTGGCGCGTGTGGCCGCAGCAGTGGCGGCTGCGGTGGTGGCAGCATTGGTGGGGGCGGCGGTTTTTGTCGCCGCGTTGTTGGTAGGGGTGCCGCATGGGCGGCGGCGTTGGCGGTGGTGGTGCTGGCGGCAGCGGCGGCGGCGGGGATCGCGGCCGCCGCTGGGGCCGCGCAGTCTTAGTCGTAGTCGTAGTCGCAGTAGTAGTAGTAGTAGTAGTAGTAGTAGTAGCAGTAGCAGTGGTAGCAGTAGTAGTAGCAGTAGTAGTAGTAGTAGTAGTAGTAGTTGTAGTAGTAGTAGTAGTAGTAGTAGTAGTGTAGTAGTAGTGGTAGTAGTAGGAGGAGGAGTAGTAGTAGTAGAAGTAGGAGTCGCAGTCGTAGTCGTAGTAGTAGTCGTAGTCGTAGTGGTAGTAGGAGTAGTAGTAGTACTAGTAGTAGTAGCAGTGATAGTTGTAGTAGCAGTAGTAGTGGTAGTGGTGCTAGTGCTAGTAGTAGTAGTAGTAGTATTGGTGGTAATAGTGGTGGTCGCAGTAGAAGTCGCAGTAGTAGTAGTAGTAGTAGTAGTGTGGTAGTAGTAGTAGTAATAGTAGTAGTAGTAGCGGTAGTAGTAGTAGTAGTAGTAGTAGCAGTGGTAGTAGTAGTAGTAGTAGCAGTAGTAGTAGTAGTGGTAGTAGCAGCAGTGGTAGTAGTAGTAGTTGTAGTAGTAGTAGTAGTAGTAGTGGTAGTAGTATTAGCCGTGGTCGTAGTCGTTGTCAAGAGAAGAACAAGAGAGAGAGAGAGAGAGAGAGAGAGAGAGAGAGAGAGAGAGAGAGAGAGAGACCCCCCGTTTCCCTGCGCGCCCCGCGGGGACTGGCCTCAGGCCTTGACCATAGGCCGCGGGGTCGGATGTCTCTGGGGGGTTGTGGCGTTGGCGCTGCGGCCGCTGGTTGGGGTTGAAGAGGTTCTGGGGGCTGCGGCGTTGGCGCTGCGAGCGCTGGGGCGCTGGGTGCCTCGAACTAGTGGCAGCGGCAGCGGCCGGGCCCGTAGCGGCAGGGCAGCCAGTGGCACTGGGGGCGGCTGTGGTGTTGGTGGCGGCGGCGTATGGGGCGGATAGTGGGGGGCGTGGCCGCGGCAGCGGTGAAGCAACGGCGGCGGCGGCGATAGTGGTAAGGTGGAAATGGTATTTGGGGCGAAGGGCGCTGGCCGCGGCGGTGGTAGTGGCTGTGGCGCGCCGCAGGGCAGGCGTGTGTGGTGGCAGAGGCGGAGGCGGGCGCGGTCGCGCAGGCGGGGTAGCAGTGGGGGGGGGCTGGCTGCTGGTGCAGCAGTGGCAGCAGCGGCGGCGGCGGTGGGCGTGGCTGGCAATGCCAGAGGCAGCGGCAGGGGTGGCGGCGGTGGCGGCGGCATTCGCAGTAGTGGCAGTGGCAGCGGCAGCCGCGGCGGCCGTGCCTGTGGGGGCCTCAGGGCTTCGGAGGCACAACAGAGGGTCGCAAATGGGGATGTCTTGGCTCTGCGCAGGGCAACCCCTGCACGGCGCTCATGTGCCTACATTCCACGTTCCTGGCGTGTGCAAAGCCCCCATCCAAACTAAACCGCCTTACTTGCACAGGATGCTTTCTACAGGGATTTCCGTTGCAGCTGCAATGTCACTACATTTTGGGAGTCTCAAGGGTGTTTTCAGGCTCCATTCTGGGGATCCTCCACAGTTTCACTGAAGCCCTACCGAGGCAGTGTCAGGGGCTGCGCTGCGCGGTGTGGCGCGCTGGACCTCAAGGCCCACAGCAAGCACAGGCACAGCAGCTGCAGGCACCTCTCTCCGTCCCCCCCCCCCCGCCTGCCTGAGGCAATGCAGTGAAATGGGAAAGGGCATAGAATGGGGCAAGCAGAACGTGCCCCCCCTTTCCATCGGAAAAATATGATATTGTAGTGAAATGGGGCAGACATTCTTCCACAATCTGACCTACTTGGGTTCAATTCTTGGTGGTGCCTTTGGGGCCGCTCCAAGGCGCAGCAGCTGACAGCAGAGCGGGGCGAGCACTGCTGCAGGACCGCGGAGAACCCTGCGCACACGGCCGCACGGGAGGGCACGGGGAGCGCCAGAGGGGATGGCACTACACCGCACACAGGCCAAGCGGCAGAATTCAAACAGCGATTCAAGCCGATCCGCGC